TTGGAAGAATTACTGTTTGTAATTTTTAGAAACAGTTAAATTTCAAAAAAGGCTTTCCATTGAAATAATTAAAAAAAATTTTAATTTCTGTGGAAAAGTAAAGCCTATTTAAATATTTGTTCAAATAAAATTATTCTATTTTCGAATACCTATTTATTTTTATTTAGTAATTATGAAAAAATTGAGTCATCAAATTTAATTTTTCGGTATAGCTACTTTTTTGTTACTTTTTTCAGTCTTAAAATAATATGAAACCTGTATTATATAAATAATAAATAAATAGTAAATAAATAATATATAAATAATAAATAAATAATAATATAATATTATATTAAACATTTATTTTTTATTTGTATAGAGAAAATAAAGAAATAAAACAAATATAAGTATTTAATTTTTAGAGTGAATCAAATTTTTGTGAACATCATTTTTATTAATTATTTTTATGATAATAAAAAAGTTGTTTTTTTGAGTACTCGTTTTTTTTGTAATTTCAAAAATGTCAAAAAAGAATTATTTTCACTTAGTTACAGAATATTGTAAAAAATTAAAATATTAAAAAATTAAATCAAAAATAATTTTTTTAAGGAATTTTTATTTACCGTATTAAAATTTTTAAAATCGAGTTGCATTTCGACAGGTTTTACTGAATATCAAATCGAGAGAAAAAAGTGTCAAAAGTTTTGCGAAGCATCGTTTTTGATACGTTTTTTTGTCTCAACAAAAAAAAAAGGACAAAAAGTTTTGCGAAGCAACGTTTTTGAAACGTTATTTTGTCTCAACAAAAAAAGTATCAAAAGTTTTGCGAAGCAACGTATTTGATACGTTTTTTTGTCTTAATTTTGATATTTTTAAAAAAAACTGTGAATATAGAAGTAAAAGGAAAAAAAAATCTATGGGAAATATATTAATTATTTCGGTAAACTATTAAAATTATGATTTAACTAGCCAAGTTACAATTTAAACGACGTGTTTGCGCAGTTATTGTTCTTCCGTTATAGTAAAGTAGGAAGAAAAGTTTTTTCTTTTCCTATATATATATAAAAGAAAAGGAAAGAATGCACAGTATAAACTCTTGGGCTCACTTTGCCTTAATGAAGATGCACTAACCGCATCGTAAATCACGTCTACATTCTGCGGTTTGTAATTTACTAACGAATGCATGTAAAATAAACGATAACGCAAGTTCAAGATACCTCACGATTAGCCTAATAAGTATACATGATAGTAAACTGCAGTGGTAGCAATGCGCGGTATGAAGGGGAAAAGAAAATAAAAGGAGAAAAATAAATAAAAAAAACAGAAACAACAACAAAAGAAGAAGAAGAAGAAGAAGGAGAAGAAGGAAAAGAAAATGAAATGCGAAAAATTTCTTTCCCTGAAAGTGAAGATTCACTCTCTGTATGGGAATAAAGGCATCTTCCATTGAAGTGTAACCTTGGACCTTGATTTATTTGTAACTGAAGTGAGTCTGCACTGTAAATCATGTCAGCCTTTTAAGGTTCGTAACTCTTTGATGAATACAGGAAAGATAAAAGAACGACTATCAAATGTTCCGACTGTCAAGTACTTGTACATAGGTATATTTATCCGATAACAACTGTTGCTAAATATTTCTTTACGCGATTACTATCTGTTCTATAAACTTTTTTTACATTTTTGGAAAAATTTTTTCTTTATCTTCTTTTTGCAAAAGGAAAAAAAAATGAGATAAGTCTTCACTGTTAGAAAAAGAAACTGTTCTATAAACTTTTTTATATTTTTGGAAAATTTTTTTCTTTATCTTCTTTTTGCAAAAAAAAAAAAAAATGACATAAGTCTTCACTGTTGGAAAAAGAAACTGTTCTATAAACTTTTTTATATTTTTGGAAAATTTTTTTCTTTATCTTCTTTTTGCAAAAAAAAAAAAAAAAAATGAGAAGTCTTCACTGTTAGAAAAAAAAACTTTTCGCATTTTCTTTTTCTTCTTTTTTTTGAAGAGAATAAAAAATGTAAAAAATAAATAAAATGTATGTAAAAAATTGCAAAATAGGGCAAACATATGGGTGGAGAAAAATAAATATTAATAAAGTGATGATTCTTATTTAATTAGCAACAATTCTTGCGCTTACGCACGAAAAATAAAAGAATAATAAAAAAAAAAAAATAAATAAAATTAGCAATTTTAAAAATAATCGAACTTCTGAAAAAAATTTCTTTTTAACTAACTTCAATCTGGAACAACTATCATAAAATAAATAAATTATTAAATGAATAATTTAACTTAAATATTTCAAAATTAATTCAATTTTAAAAGAGTTGCGTTTACAATTTTCATAAATAAATGAACTTCAAACGATTTCAATTTAAAATTTTAGAAAATTTCAATGTTGAATGAATTTAATTAGAAATTTTAATGAACTTAGATTTTTGAAAAATTTTAATAATTCAAAATCTTCTAAAATTAGTTACATTTGTCAATATGCATTTAATTAATTATTAAAAATAATGGATTTATAGAAGAATTTTAGTTAAAAACACTAAAAAAAAATTGAATTTTTAAGAAGTTGCAAGTGATTGCAGAAATTCAATTATTTTCAAAAGTAATAAAATTCTTATTACAAAATTCAATTATGTTCAAAATTTACAAAAAAAAATCTGGACAAAATCCCAATTATTATTTTTGTAAATAAAAAAATTCTTCTTCAAAATTCAATTATTTTCAAAAATTTTAATAAAATTCTTGTCAAAATTTCAATTATTTTCAAAAATTTTCCTCATTTCAATGATTTTTAATATCTACTATTTTAATAAAATTATCCAAAAGAATTCAATTAGTTAAAAACAATTTTAATAAAATTGTACGCAAACATTTAATTATTTTCATAAATAATATAAATTTCACAGGAATTCAAATATTTACAAATTTTTTTATAAGATTCTTCTGAATAATTCAATTATTTTCAGAAATAATAAAACTCATTGGAGATGTTCAATTATTTTTAATACAATTTTAATTAATTTCTTCGAAAATTTCAATTATTTTTAAAAATCTTGTAAAAATTCTCCAAGAAAATTCAATGATTTTTAAAAATAATTGAATTTTTCACAAGAGTTCAATTATTTAAAAAACTTTTTTAAAAAATTCAATTCAAGAATTCAATTATTTTAAATACAATTTTAATTGAATTTCAGGGAAAATTAAATTATTTTTAAACATTTTTTTTTAAATTCTTCGAAAGAATTCAATAATATCAAGAAATAGTAAATTTTTCACTTCTTTTAAACAATATTATTGGAGTTTTTATAAATAATTACATTTTTTTTTTTTTTTGAAGAATTTCATTAAATTTCGTAAAAATAATGTAATTTTTTAAAATAATTTTAATTGAAAATTTAGAAAATAATTGAATTTTACGAAGAATTTTTCTAAAAACCAAATTTCTAGAATTACAACAAAAATGTTAGTTTTTAGTGTGGAGAAAAAGTTTTTGAGGAATTTAAAAAAATTATTCTATTCAATTCAAGTTCAGGTGTTTTTTAAAATAAAATTTTGGAAAATTTCAATTGTTTTAAAGAAATTAAAAATAATTAGTTATTTATTTAGAAAAAATTATTTAAGTTTTGAATAATTTTCTTTAAAATTCTGAATAAATAGGTTTTTTAAATTTAAATTCAATTTATTTGAGTTATTTGAATTGTTGAAAATATTTTATTAAAGAAATTTAAAATTAATTGAAATTTAAGACAATGAACTTGAAATTTTTTAGTATAAAAAACAGTATTAGATTCAAAAATAAATGTCAATTGAAATGTAGTCTGTAATTATAAATTAGTTAAATTTCACTGTTAAAATAAGTAAATGAAAATTGAGATACTATTTTACATGTAAGTGAAATTTTTTTTTTTCCTTTAATTTAAAAAAAAAACTTGAACGATGAAGAAGAATAAAAAAATTACTTTTTTCTAATTGTGATTTTAATTCTAAAATTTTGTGTTAAATTTGTAGTAAACTTTTTAGTGTATTTTGTAGTAAATTTGTAGTAAATTTTGTAGTAAAATTTGCTGTAAAATTGTAGTAAATTTTGTAAGAAATTTTGCAGTATATTTGTAGTAAATTTTGTTATAAAATTTGCTGTAAATTTGTAGTAAATTTTGTAAGAAATTTTGCAGTAAATTTGTAGTAAATTTTGTAAGAAATTTTTTAGTAAATTTGAAGGAAATTTTATAAGAAATTTTGTAAGAAATTTTTTAGTAAATTTGAAGGAAATTTTATAAGAAATTTTGTAGTAAATTTTGTAAGAAATTTTGCAGTATATTTGAAGTAAATTTTTAGTAAATTTTGTAAGAAATTTTCTAGTAAATTTGTAGTAAATATTGTAAAAAATATTGTAGTAAATTTTGTAAAAAATTTTTTAGTAAACTTTTTGAGAACATATTTTAGTAAATATATAGTAAATTTTGTAAGAAATTTCATAGTATTTTATAGTAAAAAAAGTGGAAAGAAATTTTATAGTAAATTTGTAGCAAATTTTTAAAGAAATTTTATAGTATTTTTTAGCAAAAAAAAGTGCAATGAAATTTTATAGTAAATTTGTAGCAAATTTTTAAAAAAGTTTTATAGTATTTTATAGTAAAAAAAAGTGCGAAAAGTTATTATGTGAATTTAGTTGCTCACTTGTCACTATAATTAAAATTTAGACTGTACAACACGGATGGAACTAAACGATAAATTCTCAATTCAAAAATATTTTCTCTCGCCTCAAGATAATTATAACAATTCGTCATAAAAATTATCAATTTTTATGACAATTATTTTCTCGAAAAAAGATTTTCACTTTTCAAAAATTAAAAAATTAACACACACGGAAGATGAAAAATATCAACTAAAAATCTCCTCTCCTACTTCACTTGTTTCGAACTTTTTACTGACACTTTGTTAGGGAATTAAAAACCCCCCAAAAAATACATTGAAACTATTTCCAAAAAAAGGGTACGAAAATTCACACGATCACACTCACCTTCGGGTTGTTCGGGCAAAGCCGTGGGCAAAGCGAGTTGTCTACCGCGATTGACAACAACCCTTCTTCGTCCGATGGCAGTTGCAAGGGTGGCAAATGCCAATAACACGAGGAAAATCCTCATCGTTGATTTGCCCACCGTGGGCAAATTTGCACAATTTTTAAAAATAATAAATTAATTAATTAAATAAATAAATAATAATGAAACAGCAACAACATTTGAAAAGGAAAAATTGACCGCGCGAATAATTCGCGAAGTGTTGTTGTTCGAGCGCGTTTTACAAAGAAGATGAATCCTTGTCCTGAGTTCGTGTCCTGATGCTGGATGGGCTGGACCACGGCCGTCCGAGGGCTTACATAGGGCAACCCCCACCATTCACGTGGGTATATGCAGGGAACCGTCAGGACCCCAATTACACGGGCGCAGGACCTCGAAGAACTCTTGCGCAGGAAGTTGCGGGAACGAGTCTCCAACCCAAAAAATACCGCCGTCCCTCCTTTTTCTCCAACTTGTTGAATTTGTATACAGTTTGCCACTTCTCTATATTTATTTGTCTTCTCTACTCACTGAATTTGTACACATAGTATTTTTTACTCGCACAGCTGAAAAAGTTCTATACTATAGAATTTCACTAGAATCATTCTATACGAATTTCTACATGAATTCTACTGAATTTTCTAATTCAAAATTTGATTTTTAATCAGAAAGAATTTAAATTCGTGAAATAATATTTTTCAACTTTACACTCAAAAAAAATTTAATTGATTCAAATTACCGATTAATTGACAATTAAATGGTATTTGAACCAAATAATATTTATTGTATAGTCAATTAAATGGTATTTGAACCAAATAATATTTATTGTAGTCAATTAAATGGTATTTGAACCAAATAATATTTATTGTAGTCAATTAAATGGTATTTGAACCAAATAATATTTATTGTAGTCAATTAAATATTTAATTGAACCAAATAATATTTATTGGTGTCAATTAAATGGTATTTGAACCAATAATTTCAGTATTTGAAGCAAATTTGAATTGAACCATTTAATTGACTCCAATAAATATTATTTGATTCAATTAAATATTTAATTGATAATAGTCACAATTAATCGGTTATTTGACTCAAATAAATTTTTTTTTTCAGTGATAGAATGATTCTATAGAATTTCTACCTGAATTCTACTAAATTTAAGTGATTTTTAATTAAAAAGAATATTAATTAGGAAATAAAAATTTGAAATAATGTAAAAAAAAATTCAATTATACTTTTTCAAAAAAATTAATTTTAAAATTCAATTATTTCTACAAAATTCACGCTATATTGTTTTTAATATTCAATTATTATATCTAAAATTTTAACTGAAATTCATTTTTATGAAATGAAAATCAATTTTTATTAGAAAATTCTACTAGAATTCAATTACTTAAATACAAATAAAATGCAAATAAATAATTTATTGAATAATTGAACGTTTCTTAAAATTAAATTCCCATAAAGAATTTTATCAATAAATTTTTAAATATTGAATTTTTTTTGACAAATTTTAATAATATTTTTAAGAATAATTCAATTATTTACGAAAATAATTGAATTATTGCGAAGAAATAAATATAAAAAATTTGTAAATAATTGAATTCCAGTAAAATTTGTATTATTTATAAAAATAATTGAATTATTACGAAGAAATTTATAAAAAATTTGTAAATATAATTGAATTCCTGATAAATTTTTATTATTTATGAAAATAATTAAATATTTGCGTAGAATTTTATGAAAATTTTTTTTTAAATAATTGAATTCTTTTGAAAAATTTTATAAAACAGTAGATATTGAAAATTATTGAATGGAGGAAAATTTTTTAAAATAATTGAAATTGTGCCAAGAAATTTAATTAAATTTTTGAAAATTCAATTATTATTTACAATTTTAACGGAAATTCATTTTTAAATAAATTTTTATTAGAAAATTCTGCGAGAATTCAATTATTTAAATACAAAAATAAATAATTTATTGAATAATTGAATGTTTCTTAAAATTGACTTCTCATAAAGAATTTATCAACAAGTTTGTAAATAATTGAATTCTTGCAACGAATTTTATTAAAATTCTTTTCAAATAATTGAATTCTTTTGAAAAATTTCATTATTAGTACCTAGATAATTGAAAATCAGTGAATTGGTGAAGATTTTTAAAAATAATTAAAATTCTGCCAAGAATTTTATTAAAACTTGTAAAAATATATGATTTTTGGAGAAAAATTTTATTATTTATGAAGATAATTGAAATGTCCATTTTTTAAAAAAATTTTTAACATAATTGAATTCCTGCGAAGAATTTTATTACTTTTGAATATAATTGAATTTCTGCAATCATTTTTATTTTCTCCAAAATTCAATTTTTTTTAGTATTTTCATCTAAAATTCTTCTACAAATCCATTATTTTTAATAATTTTTAAAATAGTTTTTTTGAGAATTTTCAAATTCATTTTTGTTTTTAACTGAAATTCATTTTAAAATCAATTTTTATTAGAAAATTCTACTAGAATTCAATTATTCAAATATTAAATGTTTCTTAAAATTGAATTCTCATAAAGAATTTTGTCAACAAATTTTTAAATAAATTAATTCGTTTGACGAATTTTAATAACATTTTAATAACATAATTTTAATAACATTTTTAAGAATAATAAATAGTGAAAATACGACTGAGTGATAGAATCATTTCTACTCTTATTTTTAAGAATAATTACATTTTTCGAGGAATTCGATTAAAATTGCATTAAAAATAATTGAAGTTCTGCGATGAGTTTTACTATTTATGAAAATAATTGAATTCCTAAAAAGAATTTTATTAATTAGAAAAATAATTGAATCCCTGTAAAAATTTTATTATTTAGAAAAATTATTGAATTATATTGTGAATATTCGCGAATTGTTGAAAATAATTGAAATTTTGCCAAGAATTTTATTAAAATTTTTGAAAATAATTGAATTTCGGAGAAGAATTTTATTATTTATATAAAAATAATTGAAATTTTTAAGACAGTTTAAAAAAATTTTTGAACATAATTGAATTTCTACGAAGAATTTGATTACTTTTGAAAATAATATTAAATTTTGCAAATTTGAATCAGTTAAAAATAACTGATTTAGTAGCAAAAAGTCAGTCTCTAATTCAAATAGTAATATTTCTACTGACAATTGGTTAAAAATAACTGATTGTCAGTTGAAAATAACTGATTGTCAGTTAAAAATAACTGATTATCAGTTAAAAATAACTGATGTTTCAATAAATTTTTTTTGACTGATTCAATATTAATCAGGTTTAAATATTTTTTCAGTTATTTATTTATTTATTATTTATTATTTATTATTTATTATTTATTATTTATTTATTTACTAAAAGTCAGTTATTTTTTCACTGAAAATCAGTTATTTTTAATTGATTTAGAAGCAAAATGTCAGTCACTGATTGTCAGTTAAAACCATGATTTTTAACTGATTCAAACTAAGAGAGTGAATCAAACTTATTATTTATTGAATCAAAATTATGTTTAATTGAAAAATAATGTTCGGTTGACTGTATTAACAAAGATAATTATCTTTGATTCAAATATATTGTCTTCTCAGTGTGTACTCTCTTAATTTGAATCAGTTAAAAATCATGGTTTTGACTGACAATCAGTGACTGAATTTTTGCTTTTGAATCAGTTAAAAATAACTGATTTTCAGTAAAGAAAAAAAAACTGAAAAATTAGTTAAATCTGACTAATTAAATCAGTCAAAAAAAAATTTACTGCAACATCAGTTATTTTTAACTGATAATCAGTTATTGTTAACTGAAAATCAGTTGTTTTTAACTAATTGTCAGTAAAAACATTACTATTTGAATGAGTGACTGACTTTTTGCTTCTAATTCAGTTATTTTCAACTGATTGAAATTTAGAGAGAACTGATGAAAATTTAGAGTGAACTGATTTAAATTTAGAGAGTAGAAAGAAAAAAAAATACTTGCAGGAAACACTCGGAGTCTAATCGTTGTTACAAGAGGAGGTATCGAGCTGATATGGTAACAAACGAGGGATGCCATATACATGAGAGTTTGCGAGAGTTGATGGCGGAGAGTGAACGCCATTGAACTTGAACCTGAGATATGTGGCCGTGATCAGGTCGTTTGTCAACTTGATCAAACGCGTTCAATTACACCGCGTTTGCTTTTATATTCTCGGCAGAGTTACAGAATTTTATTCTTTCCAAAGGTGTTGCCTTCATAATTAATTAGATGAGGAGACTTGATAAAAATTCTTCTCTCTCTCTCTCTCTCTCTCTCTCTCTCTCTCTCTCTCTCTCTCTCTCTCTCTCTCTCTCTCTCTCTCTTTCACTCTCTTCTTGCTTTTTTCCCCTTGCCCCCTTTTTTTTGTGTCTTGAAATTCTTTCGAGAAAAAAAATGCATACGGCATTTTAATTTTTTCTTCTTTTTTTGTTTAGGAGAAAATTTTCTTCTGCTGATAAATTTAATGAAAATTATTTTCGTGCAGATAATTTGAATGAAAGTGACAACATTGAGGTCTGGATTAATTTTCTAAAATGTACTCGAGATTATTTACAATTTGATTTACAATTTACAATTTGATTCAAGTAACTAATTACCTAACTATTACCAATTAAATATTTACTTGAATCAAATAATTTTTATTTGCGTCAATTAAATATTTACTTGAATAAAATATTTTTTATTTGAGTCAATTAAATATTTACTTGAATCAAATATTTTTTAATTGAGTCAATTCTATATTTACTTCAATCAACTATTTTTTATTTGAGTCAATTAATTATTTACTTGAAACAAATATTTTTTTATTTGAGTCAATTAAATATTTACTTGAATCAAATATTTTTCACTTGAGTCAATTAAATATTTACTTGAATCAAATATTTTTTAATTGAGTCAATTCTATATTTACTTCAATCAACTATTTTTATTTGAGTCAATTAAATATTTACTTGAAACAAATATTTTTTTATTTGAGTCAAGTAAATATTTACTTGAATCAAATATTTTTTACTTGAGTCAATTAAATATTTACTTGAATCAAATATTTTTTACTTAAGTCAATTAAATAGTATTTACTTTCAAGTATTGAAATTATTGATTCAACTACCATTTAATTGAGTCAAATAAAAATTATTTGATCCAAGTAAATATTTAATTGATAATAGACAAGTAATCGGTTACTTGAATCAGATAAATTTTTCTTTCAGTGTTCGAAAGAGGAATATATTAAACTGACCCAAATGTTTATTTAAAAGAAATAAATGATTATTTCATTTAAA